ACACTCTAACCGCTGAGCCAAACCGGCCAGGGCTAAGAACCTAAATTTTATATTTAAACAAATGATTGACTTATTCATTGACCCACTTTATTAACAATTAATATTTATCCTTATCATTATTGTGGAATTGATTCTGGTTCAAGACGGTTAGGAATGGACTTGAAAGGGAAGCCTCGTCCTCTCACCCACACGAGCGTTCTTACAGCCCTAACACACCGGAGCAGCCTCTGACACCTGCACAGCAAGAAAGGCCTGGGCGTGTACAACAGTCCTGCTGAACCCAGGGTGAAGCCTACGGGCTGGATGAGAAAAAACTGGTACGTTGTAAGTCTTAACCAAGGAGAGGGAGGACAAGGAAACAAATACTTACTAAGCACCTCTTAACATGATGGGCATCGTGCTGCATGCTTTACACCATTATTTCATCTAATCCTTACAACTCTGTCAGCTAAGCGTTACTCCCAGATTAAAAATGAGATTTATTAACACAACAAGACACCGCTACACACCTATCAGAATAGCCGAGTCCAAGCACCGACGACCAAAGCTGTGAGGGGAGCAGCAGGAACTCTCCCTCACTGCTGGTGGGAATGCCCAACGGCACGGCCACTTTGGAAGGCAATTTGGCAGTTTCTACAGACATACTGTTACCATATATGATTCAGCGATTGTGTCCCTTGCTATTTACACAGATGAATTCAAAACGTATATCCAGGCAAAAACCTGCACACGGATGCCTATAGCAGTTTTACCCATAACTGCCAAAGCCTGGAGACAACCGAGATACCTTCAGTAGGTAAGGGGTAGGTGGCGGCACATCCGTACAGCGGAACAGTACTCAGTGCTAAGAAGAAATGAGCAACCAAGTCATGAAAAATCATGGTGGAATCTTACATGCATTTTTCTGAGCAAAATAACCCAATCTGAAAATGTTACATATTAGATTATTTCAATTATATGACATTCTGGAAAACACAAAACTATGGAGACGGTAAAATGTCGTGGTTGCCAAGGCTGAGGGGGAGAGAGCGATGCCTAGGCTGAGCCAGAGCTTCCTCGGCAGTGAAATTAGGCCTGTACCGCGATGGTGGATACATGGCATTACACATTTTCTCAAACCCACAGAACATATAAGGGTGGGAAAAAGTAAGGTTACAGTTCTTGTATGGAAACTTCATGTAACAATTAATAAATAATAATACAATAATAAACTCTGTGTTTCATGGACTCACAACTGTAAACCTACTTTTGCCCACCCTGAAGAACACCAAGGATGGACCCTACTGGAAACTCTGGGCTGTGGGTGACAATGATGTGTCAGCACAGGTTCATCCATTGTACCAAATGTGCTGTTCTCATGCACAATATTCATAGTGGGGGAAATTGTGCATGCGTGGGGATGGGGTGCTCTGTACATTCTGCTCAATTTTTCTGTGAATCTAAAACTACTCTAAAAAATAAAGTCTATGTAAAAAAGGTGCCTCCTATCTCAAAAAGCACACACACCTCCCAAAGAAGATGAGGCCTCATAAACGAGAGAACTCGCCATGTCAGAAACTGACTTTAGTTATTATCATGACACCTTCCTGTTTCCAGGGCTGGAAAGGTATCTAGATTTCCCTTAAGAACATGACTGGGTTACAAGGTTCATTTTGAATCTTCACATAACCTTCCTCCCTCCCTCTCTCCCTCCCTCCCTCCCTTCCTCCCTCCCTCCCTCCCTTCTTTCCTTCCTTCCTTCCTTCCTTCCTTCCTTCCTTCCTTCCTTCCTTCCTTCTTTCCTTCCTTCCCTACAGAGCACTCAAGTGGATGATTATTGCCATAGTCAAGATGCAACAAAGCAAAATTTCTATTTTAAAAATAAATAAAACTGAACCGTAACTGTTCTTTCACTTTTGGGAAAATTGTTATGTGTTTGGGAAGTCTCTTTGATGAGCATTTTCTCTGCAGAGAGAAAGTCTGTGTGTTAATCTGGATAAGAAAGGCTGTGATTTAAAAGGGACACAGTAGGCCCTCCTTATCTGCAGGGGGATATGTTCCAATACCCATAGCAGATGCCTGAAACCTTGGATAGTACTAAACCCTATATATGCTGTTTTCTTTTAATATTTTTATTGATTTTTAGAAAGAAAGGAAGAAAGTGGGGGAGAGAGAGAAACATCAATGTGAGAGCAAAACATCAATCAGCTGCCTCCTGCACTCCCTCTACCAGGGATGGAGCCCACAACCTGGGCATGTGCCCTGACCACGAACCAAACTGGCAACCTTTTGGTGCACAGGATGATGATGCTCAACCAACTAAGCCACACTGGCAGGACACTACCATTTTCTTTCCTATACATACATACTTATGATAAATTTTAATGATAAATTAGGCACAGTAAGGGATTAACAACAACCACAATAAGCTAAGAAAAGAAATATCCTGTAAAGAAAAGTTGTATGGATGTGGTTGGTCTCTCTCTCAAAATATCTTATTGTACTGTACTCAGCCTTCTTCTTGTGATGATATGAGATGATAAAAGGCCTTACTAACTGGAGAACTTTCACCTTTTCCCTTAAAGGAAGTACTTCCTGGCGTATTCGAATCGCCAGCATCATGCTCTAGCGCTCGGGGACCACTGTGAAGAGACACAAGCACTGCAATACTGTGGCAGCTGATCTGACAACTGGGAGGACTCCTGATGACTAACACAGGGGTTGTTACAACCCGTGGATATGCTGGACAAAGAGATGATCCACGTCCAGGGTTGGATGGGGTGAGATTCCATCATGCTCATCGGAATGGCACACACTTTAAAACTTGTGAATTGTTTATTTGGGGAACTGTTTAACTGAATATGTTTAGATGGCAGTTGACCGCAGGTAACTGGAGCTGCAGATGAGGGGACGACTGTAAACTACTCTGCATAATAGAGTAAGAAGGAGGAGATTTTAGTGTGTTCTTGGAAGCCCTAGAGGCAGGTGCTTGGGGTTATGAACTAAATGAAAAAGAGATAAGATGATGACTTCTTAAAGGGGTATCATCAGATCAGGATTAGAAAAGAGGGGGGCACAGAGACAGTGCCATGTGGACCCACTTTTATGACAGGGAGAACAAGTAACTTTGGAAATAGGTGATTGACAGTTTAGACGGACTCTTGTCCTGAGGATTAATTCCCCTTTGTTATGGAGAATCACCCATAAGAGACTATTGCATTGGGTAACAGTACTCTGGGTGACAAGCATATAAAGGTGTGGGGGGGAGCTAAACTGGGGAAGACAGTCGGCAACACAGTACGACAGAAACAGGACAGTGGCTGGCAGAAGTCACAGAAGAGTTGAAAGCAGAGATGGTTTAGGAAGTGTGCAGAGACTTGGAGGGGGAGGTGACAGAAGTATCTTCATCTAGGTCTCTGCTCTACGCTCCCTCCTCAGAGAGTTCTTCTCTGATTCCTTCTCTGGTCAGAGACCCACACAAGTCAGAAGTCATTGCCCTATTTGGTTTTCAACATAGTACTTACTAGTGCTCACCTGTTTATTACATGTCTTCTCATCACACCAGACCAGTGGTTCTCATCTGGGGTGATTTTGTCCCCCAGGGGACATTTGCCAATGTCTGGAGACATTTGTGGTTGTCACAACCACAGCCTGCTCTGCTGGCACCTAGTGGGCAGAGGTCAGAGACAGTGCTCGGCATCCGAGAGCACACAGGACAGCCTCCCAAAAGGGACCTCCTGGCACCAAACCCAACTGTGCTGAGGCTGAGACACTGCATCAGAAGGAAAATCCCGAGAGGAACGGAACTCCGCCTTGTGAGTTGTGTGACCCCACTACTTAAAATAGGACCTGTGCACGGTAGGCAGTCGGTATTAGTTGAAAGATCGATTGTCATTGAAGTCCTCATCTTTTCCAGCTTGAAATAAGAACCATTTTCTCCTGGACACCTATTTGCTCCCAGCTGTACATGTGTCTGACTCCAATTTAGATCAGAGCGATAATATAAAACATGTGAAGAGACCCTTTTCCTACGCAGCCAGACCAGGAGACCTCCTTCCACATCATTTCTCTCGGAAAATTTCCTCTATTTCATCTTTATAGATTAAGCACGGGATAGGGGCAGTTAGATATATTGCAATAAATAGCCCACATATTTGAGTTGGGGGTTTGCAGAGAGAGTTCTACTCACACTTACCTTCAAGTGACAGGGACAAGGAATGGATGCGGACACTGGTCAGAGCTGTGCCTGCAGCCTGGGTGAGGAGCCTGCGAACTCATCCTCCTGCCACCCAATGCCCTCCAACCACAAGCCTCCAGGCATAGGCCAAGGTCACATTTCTTCCCTGGCACCAGGCCACTCCTTTTTTTTTAAATCCTCACCCAAGGATATTTTTCCCATTTATCTTCAGATAGAGTAGGAGGGAGGGGAGAGCTAGAGAGAGAGAGAAACATCGACTGGCTGCCTCCTGCATGACCCCGACCACTTCTGGGGACTGAACCTCAACTGAGGCACATGCCCTTGACCAGAATCGAACCCTCAACTCTTTGGTCCGCAGGCCAAAACTCCAACCGCTGAGCCACACCGGCCAGGGCCAGACCACTCTTCTAGGAACAATATCTCGGTCTTGGACTGATAGACTTCTCATTGACATCAGCATCAGTCTAGTACAACGTAGCACTATCATACCCCCCCGACTTCCAAGAAAACTGCAGCTAACATTTCAGAGTTTGAAAGAAATGTGCCTAAAAGTAGTGACCTGGAAGGAAGTGAGAAAGAGAATCCAGCAACGCTCGTTTCAAAACTGCTCCCTGGTATTCTCCCACTTATGAAATCAATGTTTTAACGAGAGGAAATAAAGATATTTGTTGTTACATGACTTGCTTGGGAAAACAACATGGTAGTTTGGACCAACGACTTTGACCATGACAGCGGAGAAACCGTCCCATGAAACAGTGAGTCCACGTAATGACGACACTTCATTAGCTGAGGTCGGGACATCCTCAGTGCCCCTTTGCATTACCTGACTCTCCTGCTGGTCCCACTGACACATCTGCAGAACCTGACTCAGCTCCTGCCGCTGCTGCTTCAGGCACTTGTCTAGCTGCCGTCTCCTGTCCTGTAGAAGTTCAAGGAGGCTGTCGATCTTCTGGCAGCTAGTACGAGCTCCCTGAGTCAATGCGGGGTTTACGTTAGGTCCGTCGCACTTGAATTCTTCTATGAAGTCAGTGAGTTGTTGACTTTTGTTTAAAAGTGCTAGAGATCGTTCTAAGAGTTCTAGAAGAAAATGAGAGAGAAATCAGGATAGTGATATGATCAAGCTTTTCGATAGTAGTATTTGGGCCCTTCATATGATTCAAACCATCATGCTAAAATAAGGAATTCAAATGTGTAAACATAAAATGCCTACAACTGGTCAAATACATTAGTCCAACAATGACGATAGCACTAAATGCCAAGTCATAGAAGGCTGATGTTCAGTGACAGTGTAATTCAGTGTGGGGGGTGGGGGGGTGGGGGTTAGAAAGGCTGGGATACAGAACCGGTTCAGGTGGTCTTTAGTGGTCTGAGGCTGGTTAAGGTGCCTACACTCCTTGGAGTGTTCTATATTCTGGGGTGATTGACTAAAGCTGAGGTTTAAAAGCTAATTCCTGTAGTGGCCAAAAACTCGATGAATGTGGTGGCCAGGGGCCCAGAGGCCAGGGCCTCTGGAAGATGCCGAATCTGTGGTCAGTCCCATAGGATCGGCTGTGCCCGGTTCTGACCAACTGTTGACATGAGAGAATATGGGTTTATCGTTGATGGAGCTTCCATTTTTAAAAGAATTATAAATATAGATTTTATGGCAAATCTTCTGATTTTAAATGTTTATAATTTGTATTTTTGATTGAGAAAAAGCTGAGAGATAAATAAAATAAGTTTCTCTGCCAAATGGGCCACCAGTGTGCGCCCTCTGGAGTGACTAGGACTGTGGTTTGGGGAACATCTTGTAGAAATGGGAGTTTAAGTGTAAAATCAAAGGATCACCGAGGGAGAGAGTGGAGAACAGCACTTTGAGAAGCAACCACACTTGGGGATTCACTGGAGGAACAGTTGGACCACTGTCCTCTCTCCACCAGCCTGAAACCAAGGGGACATCATGACACATCCTCCTCGTCATCTTATCATTACCCAGTCCTATCAGTTTCCAGTCTCACCCTCTGTCTCCTGCACCTGTCTGCTTTTCTCCATTCCCACTACAAAAATCATCATCTGTTGCCTACACCTGTACAATCGTCTCTTAATTACATCCCCTCTCCAATACATTCATCTATTCTCTATATATGAGCCACAGAGATTGCTTCCAAACACACACACACACACACAGATACACACACACACAGACACACACACACACACACCAATGGTTTCCCAATGCCTTAAAATTAAGGACAGATCCCTTATCATGATTTCAGGTCTGGCACAGTCTGGTATCTCTCTTCCCTTTCAGATTGTCTTAATCTCTCTACCCTTCATCTCTATCTTTTTAAAACGTCTCACACATGCTTTTCTCCCTCCTGCCCCAGAACTTTTCACTGTGTTCCCGGCTGGGGACACCATTCCCCTCAACCCCTTCCTTCTCCACCTTCACTGTATTCAGACTTCAGGTCTTCACCAATTGTCAGTTCTTCAAAGGACAAATAAGCCTGAACCAAATACTCCTATTACGTGTTCTCATAGTACAATATTCCTGTCATTCACTGCTCTTATCATGGCTATAGTTTTATAGTTATGTGTCGAGTTAGTTGTCTGTCTTCACCACTGGGATCCAATGCGATATGAGGACAGGGACCATGACTGTGTCCCCAGCACTTAGCATAGTGACTGGCACAGGAAAGATGTTCAACTTTTGTAGCATGCTTGAATGAGATCAAATGTATTCAATGAGGGGGCAGAAATAGGAGAACTGTAGATGAAGGAGATGAGCGTCCTCCAGAGATATAAAAGAGAGACACTGAAAAGATCTGGGGTTTTGTGATGGGTAAACCAGGTTACCAGGTCAAGTGGGAAGGAGGCGATGAAGTGAAGTCAACAAGACAGGGAATCTTTGAGATATTTGTTCTTAGAAGAAGAGAAAAAGAATATCTGCCTTTTATTTTGAGGATGAAAACTGTGAAGACCATGTAGAGGGTCAGCACATTGCCGAACATCACACTATGAGAGATGGACTAAACCATATCCACTGTACGGTACTTCGCGTTCTAACAACTGGTAGTAAACCACACGGCAAGGATCCGGCTGTGGTAGTTGGGCCAGTTGTCTCTTTCAACGGACCAGTGGAGAGCTGGAAGAGAGAATGAGATAAGTGAAGGAACTGTAAAGAGGCATCTTGAGATGAAAGGCAAGACTTTGAAGTGTTTATGGCACAGTCAGGTCGACCTAAATCTGTGTAATAAGGTCATAAATGGTGCTATCTGCTCAGAGTGAGACAGGCGTGATGACTGCACTGGGCGATTCAATTGGGAGTCATTAATGCAAGAAACAAGCAAAACAACCACAGACTTGAACCAGGACAGAGGAGGGGATAATTCAAATAGAATAGGAAAAGTCAGAGAACATTAAAATTAGAGTAAATCACTTAAACAAGGAAATGGAATTGGATGCGACCAAGACAAGAGTGACAAGGGCCGGGAAAAACGCCTGTCTGCCGAGAACAAGTTCTTACGTGAGAGTAGCAGACACAGGTGAAGTCAGGTTATAGGGGCCTTGCCCATCAAACTGAAGGGTTTTAATTGTATAACCTTAATGTAATAATCAGTATGATTAGTTATGCATGTAATATCTCTCTCTCTCTCTCTCTCTCTCTCTCTCTCTCACACACACACACACACACACACACACACTCACACGAAAAGTATGTGCAGGCGACAGGGTTTCCACATAGTATTTCTTTCCTTTCCTTCCATAACTAGCTCGTACACACTAGACTTGTCAAATGAGAAAGGAAAGCGCAACAGTAGGTGCTTGGACACAGACAGTGGAATAGCCAACCTGTTCTGGTCCCTACAAAATACATACAATTAGCCCAAATTTCCATTTGCAATCTGTTTCTAGTTTCTATTTCAGCTTCTGCCAAAACAGTATAACCACTGCCACAGTATCACTAGGAACACAGCCTCCTGAGCCAAAGTTAACTTGTAAAATGTACCCAGGCTAAAATCGGTCTGTTACTGCTACCACGACGGTCACTGAAGGGGGCAACTGGCCCCTCAGCTCCTCCGTCAGTTTCTTACACGTTACTCTTGCACTGTTTATGGTTTTCTGGCTATTTATTCTGTCAGCTGATCATATAAAGTGCTGTATTTTTTTTCAGGCTAAACTATCTAGACATATCATGACCTTTAGGAAATACAAAATCTCTATAGTGCATTTATTTTAAAGATCGTATTTTTTGCATCTACAAAACCCTACTTTCTCACATAATACCTTGTAAAGTGAGGCTAGTAGATATTTAATCAATTAAATTGTTTAATTGTTTTGATTGTCATTATATCTTTTAAAAAGTAGCATTAAAGTATATTTTAAACTAATACCTACACACTTTGCCATAGTTATTAAGTATAAATAGCAAATTTAAGATAGATAAATGAGAAATGTACACAAATTAAGTGAACTTATAGCTTGATATACAATCTTTCCAAATGAGTATTTTCTTAAAAGTATCGGGTCACAGTCTTGGCATTGAGATCACGGGTGATGTTTCTTCCTAATACGTTTTTAAATATTCCAAATATTCCTCTGTTGAATAGTGTTTCTTAAATTCATTCAATGAGCATTTTCAAATATACACAAAAATAGAGAGAATAGTATAATAAACCTGTATCTCTGCTACATTGAAGATATATAACAAATCCCAGTGAACCTATATCTCAGCTATACTTAAGATATATAAAACATCTAAGGACTGGCCCGTGTGACTCAGTGGTTGACATCGACCCATGCACCAAGAGGTTGCTAGTTCAATTCCTGGTCAGGGCACATGTCCAGGTTGTGGGCCTGATCCCCAGTGGGGGGCATGCAAGAGGCAGCCAATTGATGTTCTCTCTCATCGATGTTTCTATCTCTCTCTCCCTCGCTCTTCCTCTCTTTCTAAAATCAATAAAGAAAAAATATTTTTTAAAATCATCCAAGAATAAGAAAGTAAAGATATGATTGTTTCTTTGAGGAAGCTTTCTAAGTGTTATGCTTACTTTAAGAAGGCATTTGGAAAACTGGAGAGTGCAATTGTGATCCTTCAGCACTTAGAACCATTTACCTTCTCCTCAGTGTGTCCGTGATAATTATTCATTACTCAAGTTTCCATCATTCTACCTTGTCTTACATTGGAATTAAATACAAAAAACACTCAATAAACATACTTTGGGTTGGATGCTATTCTAAGTCCTAGAGATTCAGAGCTGTACTAATCCCTGCCCTCCAGAGTCTCACTATTTGGTACTAGAGACAAATAAGGAAATAAATTACGACTGCAAAGCATGTTGAGTGGTACAGCAGAGAGACCCACAGAAGCACGGAGGGACCTGACCAGTAAATATGTGCATGCCATGTGCACAGGAGGACAAGGGTCATGTACCCCGCTGACACGACTCTGGTTTCTTCCCTGACATGGTTCAAAAAGTATTGTTTAATTATGTGTTGTGGAATTGAGGGCAACCAGGCTGGTAAGTGGTCTGGAAAGTATGCTTTCTGGAACACACTTTAACTAGGCATGTTTCACCCACAGAAGGGAAGACTGGAGAGGACATGTTAGCCTCCACCTTTAAAGATTGCCCTGTGGAGGAGAAAATAAACTCATCCTGTAACATTCCAGAGGCAGAAACTTCAATTCATTCCCCTGGTTCTGACTTCCACAATGTTACAGATTAGGTTTCTAACATACAAAACAGCCTTAGCATTTGTGAATAAGGAAAAGCGTAAGCGAAGCTAATTAAAATAAAATGAATATTAGGGATAAGTTTGATTAGTACAATTATTAATATTTGTCAGCCTAACATTCACAGCCTAACACTCACTTATCAACATTTCAGACCTTAATAGAATTGCTAGCTATATATATATAGATATATAGATATATATTTTTTATCCTCACCTGAAGATATTTTTCCATTTTTTGTTCAGATAGAGTGGGAGGGAAAGAGAGAAAGAGAGAGAGAGAGAGAGAGAGAGAGAAACATTGACGTGAAAGGGACAGATCGAGTGGCTGCCACCTGCATGACCCAACCAGGGCCGGGGACAAA